TCCTCTGTTACATAGGACATGGTTTGTTTCCAGGAGTTGCTTGGCAATTTTATGTACAAAATTTGGCACAACAAGGGGATTTTAGAGTACTGTCACAGCGCTTGGTGGCTCCAGCTCCTCCTTTGGCTGTCCAGGTGGATTTCTGTGCTACATCTTTAGCTTACTGCATGATGCTAAAAAGACATTTTCTAGAAGGATATATAGATAAAAGGAAGACAGCAGAGAGGAAAGCCAACAATCAGACATTTAGAAGCGTAAGGTCATTCAGAAAAAATAAAAACTGAAAGGAATGTATGTGTTTAAGCCTCAAGAGAAGGTGGAGATGGAGACATCCAGGAGACACCCAGTCCGCTTAGAAGCAAATTTGAAGTTTGGGAAAAAGTAATAGAAAGCATTATATATACCCAGCTACTCTGAAAATGGGAAAAGTAATGGAACTTGGATAACTTACATTTTTGTGTATATTCTGTCTAACCGGAATTACTCTTGCTGCAATTTGAACTTAGTAGCTGTAGCTGAACTGTGGAATTCTTTGGTAGTTTGCAGTTTCTTAGTTACTGATGGGCTTAAAGAAAAGACAAGACTGGGAAGGTGTTAGATGGAGCTGCTTCTGTTGTAGTTGTTTCTGTTGTAGTGTCTTTCTGTGCTCTTTACTCCTCCCCGCACGGTGACTTGAAAATTCAAGTCTTCCCTCTCTGAAGGCAGTGCCATAAGGTCTTGTCTACTGTGAAAAGAAAAAGACTAAAAAAAAAAAGGCATCATTATCAGCCTGTGCAACTGTCTTTCCTCTGAAGAAGTTGCCGGGTTACTGGATTGGAATCTGCTGGTGAGGTAGACCAAGAAAACAGTTGATGGAGATGGGCACTGTGTAGAGTTTAAGGCATCTGGATACATAAGTGGTTTCTAGGGGGATAATACAGACTTCTTCTACTAGAAACCTCACTATGTAAATCTAAATTTTTCAATTTGGTTTTAAATGTGAATTATTCAATGTTGCAGTTTTCTTTGGTTATTATACCTCAGTGTCCTGTGGTTTTTAATTTCTTTCACAGTCTGCAGATGCAACAAAATAACAAGAAACAAAATAATGTTTCTTTCCTTCAAATAATTACACAAAAGCATGTATAAATAACTGCATTGACTCATAAATAATAGTTACAGGTTTGTTTTAGTCCTGATTGATGTTCCTAGATGCAAGACAAAAGGACTTTGCAGAGTGGTCTCACAGATGGTGTTAACAGGGAATACATTACACACAGTACTAAAGATTGAAGAGTAAGAAGCCAAATATTTTCTTCCACCTGGCTTGCTTTGTTATGTTTGCAGGTAAACAAAAGCATAAATGTGTTGCCTTTTTACATTCTATGACCTGATTCAACTGAAGTTTATCCTTTTATTTTCTAAACTCCTTATCAGCTGAGCTTTTGAAAAACAGAACGTTTTTCTGTATTATGTTTGTATTGTCGCAGGGCTGAAGTTTGTCAGCTTCCTTCCCTTTCATTTAATGGAAAGTTCACAGCACTTGCACCAATTCCTTCCAGGAGCCTGGTACAAATTCTTCTGTAGACTGAAAGAATGTTCAAAGTGCTGCAACTACAAACCTTTTCATCCTTTAAACAGCAGAAAATTGTTTTGAATCTCTCTTCCACTTCAGATGGACTAGAAGAAAATGCCCAAACTTGCCTACAGACAGCTGATGCCTGAGCATCTTGTGTGCTTGAAATAACCATGCGCAGAATAGTGCCTAGCAAAGGCTGGATTGCAAAGCTCATGCATGTTTCTGAGCTGTTCTGAAACTTTAAACAAAGATAACGAAAAATACAGGGAATCTACAGAGGCTCTGTAATAGCAAATTTGTATTGGAGTAGTCCAGCCTTTAGATCTTTATTAGATTTAAAGGTACAAAGTAAAACACCATAAAAAACTGATTTGGTAAAAAAAACAAAAAACAAAAAACAAAACAAAACAACTGTGTGTCTACAGTATGAAGATAAAGGTCTTCAGAAATGAGCACTTTCTGTGTCCACATAGTACAAGCCTGCATGTCTCAGTGCAGCTTTGACTATAGGACTCTTGCAGGATTCAGAACAAAAAGGATGGTGCTCACTGAAGCAATCTCTAGAGCAAAATTATGCCATAGTTCTCCTTGATTTAACTGTGGAGCAGGAACTTCAATATCAAGTCAGCTGTGCCCTCTTAGTCATGCATAACTTGATATTGTAGCAGAGATCTGATATCTGCCCCATCACAGTCAGTGTAAAGCCAGTGGGATCACGTCATTGTGCTGGGTCATGTCTGCTCTGCTCTGGCTCCTTCCACAGGTTTGTGGCTAAATGTCTGTGCCCAGACTGGATATTCTGTCATAGGCTAACTGACAGCTGGCAGATGCTGAAATCAGTTTCACAAATCCATGGCCTGGGTAGCTGTCTCATGCCTACTGTGTCATTTGGTAGTTGGCATCAGAAAAGGGATTTCAGTTTGCAGATACACTTGACTGCTTGATGCTGTGCACTTCAGTCTATTGTAACTGTTTTGTCGCATTCGGAAGTTTGGTACTTGAAGAATTTTATATACAGCATTTTCTTTGGTCGAATAATAAACTCATGGTTGCCAGCGTTTCGGAAAAAGTTGTGTTTATTTAATGATAGCTTTATACTCGTTCAGTCCATCATGGCTATTATATGTTGGTCAGTAAAGCAATAAAATTAGCACTATTTAAAACAAAAACAGCTGGGAGAACTCTGAGTATCTTCGAATTCCACAGCGAGATGTTGGATCTTTTATTAGACTTTTACTTTATGAATATCTAAACCTAGAGTTCTTATTATGTTTGCTCTGGCTTGATTGAGTCATTAGAGTGCACAGATCTAACAACAGTAATTCTTGTCTTATAGCTGGATGCATATGGGTAGCTCAGTTGTTCACTATGAATACATATACACTACCATAAATCTGATTTGTAAAAATACACACAGTGACATTTTATAGCATTTTTAATTGTAGGAATAAAATAGATTGTTTCCTCTCAGGAGTTACAGTTTCTTGCTTACTGTTGTTTGGACATTTTAAAAATGAATGATAATTCATGGAAGATGTTTCTACTTTCCAAAGTAGGCAGAAATTGAGATCTACTTTTGAAAGGAGGGGAGGAGAAAAGTAAATAAATAAATAAATAAAATCTAGAAAGCTGCAATCAAAATAGTAAAGTCAGGAACAAATGGATTTAAATGCCTTTTAAGTTCTTGGCACTTTTTCCTTTTTAAGAAGATTTTAAGACTAACAGCTTGAGCTACGTAAACTTGAAATATTTTTCAAGTGTTTGTTTATGTGAATAGCTTTGTAATGAGGTCATAGCTGTTTTCCTGGACACAGTGGTATTTCCTCTTTTTACTCTTTTCTTTTTTTATTTTTTTTTTAACACTGCTTTCTACATTATGCCTTGAAGGCTGAAGAAGCATGTAAAAATCAAACATTGCTCAGGCTAATTCCAGGTTTCAACTCTAACATTTCACAGTCATATTAAATGGCTTGAGACTGGAGCTCAGCGTAAGTATGAGAGGAAAAAACTACTGAGGTCACTGAAATACTTTAGAATTTTGAAGAAAACCTACATTAATGTCAAGAATAACCTATATGAAAAGCCTTCAGACTCCAAAATTAAGAACATTCAGGAGGATTCAGCAAATCCTGGATTTTCATTTAAATATTTTCATCTCCCATGTGAAATTGAGTACTAAGAACAGCAATAGAAAACCTGACCTCAATGCAGGTATAATTATCACCTTCAAGTGTCTGTTTTATACATGTGAGTAAGTAAATGGTCTTCCATGTAGTTTGTGGAAATCAACAACATATGCAATTGCCTGCTTTTTAATTTTGATAAATTGCTTCCTTTAACTCAGATGTTTTGATTTTGAAAATGATAAATTCATAGCTACTGAACAAATACATCTGCTTATTAGACACTATTTTACTTCAGGTATCTGTTCTTGGGCTAGTTTCAGAAAAGATCTAGAATCTTAAGTTATTCCATAATGGAAAAGAGAAAGGAGGCTTCAGTGAATAATATAATGATAAAACTGTGAAGTCATGACTTCCTAATGACTAATGTGGTATAGAATGTGGTATGTTATAATTGTATTTGTTCTACAGCGTCAAAACACTTCTGTGACTCAGCTGTACAACACTGTGTGTGCATCCATAGCTGGCTGAACTGAACATTTCCTTCAAGTCATTTCCCAAGCACTTAGGAATTTTTAGAGGCTTTTAGTTTCCCCACCAGTTTGGATTGAATTATAAGTTAGGGCTCTGCTATACAAGAAATAGTTAAAACAGACTTGCTGTTTTTTAAAAACACTGAAGTGACCAGATAATGGTCATTACAATGGTGATTATTTTATGTACAGCAGTGAGGTGACTAGCAGGGCTCCAGTTTGATTGAACTAGGAAGTATTTGGAATTCATATCATGCAGTCCTAGAATACACACATCTTCTTCTTACGAACAAGCAGCAACAAGAAGAAAACAAAAACAGAAAACCCATTATATACTGGACGGCTCTAATTTATCCACCTGTGTATGAGAATCCTGTGGAAAGAGATTGCTCTTAAAAAACATCAGAAACTCAATTTTTAAAATAGAAAAAAAAAAGGTATTGCTTCGTTTGCTGAAATTTGAAATAGCTTCTAGCTCATCCAGAATGAAAAAGATCTAGCACCAATAAAGAAAATGACTTTCCTTCACTATTTTAATTTTTAATAAATTAGAATTCGAATTGTTAATAACTAGCTGCTCTAAAAATAAATCTGGATAGCATTTCTTCCATTGTTTAAATAGACAATAATATATACTGTGTAGTTAAAACACAGATTTTTTTTTTAATGAAGGAAAAGTTAGTGGTTTCCTTCTACCTGGTTTTGTCAGTAGGAAAATGAGTTTAACTCCTTACCATTTAATAATATCTGTAAAAATCCTAACTCGTCTTTTTCATCTTCTTTCAGAAGTGAAGCCAACTTGCATATTTAACAGCATGGAATATTATGATGGAGACATGTTTCGAATGGATGCTTGTCGCTTCTGTCGGTGTCAAGGTGGTGTCTCTATTTGCTTCTCTGCCCAGTGTGGTGAGCTACACTGTGACAGGTATTATGTGCCAGAAGGAGAGTGCTGCCCAGTCTGTGAAGGTACAGTACCTTTTAAATCCCATTTTTGTCTCCTTCTGCTTTTTTTATTTTGCCCTTTCATTGAAGATGAGTGAAGAAGTGTTCCATGTTGTTGTTCTAAAGTTTGTCAACTCCTTCTTAATTTGGTTTTTCTTCTACGTTTCTTGATATGATCTTAGACATGGTCATGTGTGCTGTACCTTTCGGGTGCCTTCTTCCCAACTGTCATATAAAAGCCATTTCCAATTTCTGCAACAGAAATTACTCATTTAGCTAATAATTTAGCCATCACTATGCTCCAAAACAGCAGCAGTGTGTCTCTGACTGTATCTATGGCTTTGCAGCCTGCTTTTTCCACTTGTTGCTCTTCTGTTCAGCTGAGCAGTGTTTACAATTATAGCAAAGAACCAGGGCAGTAATCTGGCTTCAGTGTTTTTCTGTTACTCCCTTACCCTGTTGACAGCCTGCTCGTCTGCTTGTTAGGCCTGCAGTCCTCCTAAAAAAAATCCTGTGGGAAATTTCACATTGACCCTCTTGCTTACACTGGAAAATATTTGACACATCATCTGCCAGAATACAAACAGGATTCCAGGGGAGGAAGATGAGGGCTGGCGCCATACACTTGCATCTTGCCCTACTGCGGGTCAGGGTATGGCCACAACATAGAAAAAGGCCTGTGATGCACTGCTGGTCTGTGTGGTTAAAAGTAAACTTAGCAATGACATCTCAATTAGCAAAATACATTGGAAATCTCAAGTCTCCCAAGTCAAATTTCTCACTTATATATGACTAGTTTTGTTGAAATGTTTCCAGTTTTCCTATAGAATATGTGAAGTTGGTAAAAAATAAAAAAATAAAACATAAAAAAATAAATCAGATCTATGATACATTTTGTTTTGGAAAAGAAATCAGAAAATCCCCAAACTAAATATCGTAAAAAATCCAGCCATCTGTAGATACATTTTTCTTTTCTAGATCTGCTTGTTAAATATAAAATTTTAGTGGAAATCCTTTAAAATAGGCACTGAGTTTATGAATGTTCAGTATGAGCTGACTTAACGTTTTCAACAGTAAATTTCAATATTGAAATATCTTACATTGTTGCATATATTATTGTATCTCTGCATGCCACAGCGTGATTCTTTCTGTTTGATAGTGTCTTCACGTAACTCTTTTTAAATAATACAGAATCATGACATTGAAGCTATTCATACATTATATTTAGGCATAAAAGGAAATGTAATGTTTCTTGTTCTGTTGCAATTTCTTTTACTTCAGACCCAGTTTACCCTGTAAATAATCCTGCTGGCTGTTACGCCAATGGTCAGATCCAAGCTCATGGAGACCGCTGGAGAGAGGATGACTGTACTTTCTGCCAGTGTATCAATGGAGATCCTCACTGTGTTGCTACAGCCTGTGGGCAGAGCTGTTTGAATCCTGTCAAAGTACCAGGAGAGTGCTGCCCAGTATGTGAAGGTGAGATCTGCATTTCTTTTGTTATACTTCGTACTGTCGTGGCTACTTCTGACATGGTAATTCCTAATTTACTTTATAATTTTGGAGGATTGAAGTAGCTCTCACAGCATTTCCTGTGACTTTAACAAATTAGTTGGGGAATTAATTAGTTGGGAATAAAAATAGATAATTTTTAAATTCTGAATTACAGCATGGTTTAAATGCAAATGTATGTGGCCATATTCAGTACTCTTTTGGTCTAATGTAGTAATTATTTAAGATTAGCGTTATTAACTAATTTGACTCCTTGCTTTTATTAAAGCTTATCAATAAATATAGGAAGAATTAGAGAATCAAAATGTTCGTCTACAGCTATTACTAATAATTTAATTATTCCTAATTTCTTATTCATTGCTATCATTTAGTTACAATTCAAAATCTTTGCACAATATAACTTGAGAATGGACCTAATTATAGTATGAAAGAAACATCATTTTTTCAGTAAAACTTATATGAAATGATTATTAGGTAGGAGATGCATCTTGATTTTTAGAGTTTAAAATGTGATTACATTTTGTGGAAATGTACACAGTTTGACAAACAAACTGAGATTTTACTTTAGCTACATGGAACAGATTGCCTTGTGAGGTTGTGGATGACCCCTCTTTGGAGGCATTCAAGACCAGGCTGGATGGGGCTTTGAGCAACCTTGTCTAGAGAAAGTGTCCCTGCCTACAGCAGGGGGATTGGAACTGGACGATTTTAAGGTCCCTTCCAACCCACACCATTCTATGATTCTGTGATATGGCAAACACCTACCCAACCTGGCAGTGAAAATATGAAGGTTTACAAAATGAATATATTTTTAAAAATCTGTATGTTCCACAGTTGCATTTGGTAGTAGTTGCTCAGCATGAAAAATACAGATCGCTCAATTTCTAAATCATAATTCTAGACCTGTCTTTAGAACTGTATTCACAGTGTATAGATACTTGGAGGGATACATGCTCAGTGAGCTGCCACTTATTTTTCCTTTTCCATCTCTGATGGAAATAAATGAATTTTGAAATGAATTTTGCATAACAGCTTGTCATCCTTCTTGGGTTGCAGTGTCTGTCCAAGTTCACTGGGTAGTTGCTGCTTAGGAGAAATCTGTGGAGCATAGACTTTTTTCGTTGGTGCTTTTTCATGTCAAAATTCACATCACAGGATATGAAGAAGGTGTCTGATAACGTATAAAGTCTGCCCGTGAAGTGATGAAAATTACTACTTTCACACTGAATTAATTTTATGATGAAGCAAGTTAGCAAGTTTTAATCCCCAGTGATTCTCTCTTGATGGGTATCACAGAGTATGTGCTGTCACACTTAATGTGTATGTGAGTGAGCTAGGAAGGATAGCATAGACAGGTAGATTTATCTAAGTATTTTCTGTATGTGATGGTTTCTTCTCCAGTGGGAGTGGACAAAATGTCAGTGTGATACATGTGATACAAATGGTGCCAAAAAATTGGTAGGAAGCTGTCACTGGTAATGGTAGCAGTGTCTGTGTGCTGAGAAGAGCATGAGGCTCCTGAGGGACTGGGAAAAAGTGGGCTGAGCTGAGTGAGCATGCGGACAGTTCAGTTGGCAGGAGGCCACGTGGAACTGACCTAGGAATTTGAATGTCATTTGGACGTGGAATTCCAAACAGCTTGGAATGTGTAACTTTCTGAATGCGTGTGAAGAGTTATTACCCTCTCTGCAAGTCCAGTAACAATTCAGCTGCCCCCAGGCCCTCCCAGATTCTCATTATCCTGTGGGTGCAGGAGAAGTTGGTCAGGTAAAGGGATCCAGATCGTTTTCACTGGAGCTGCCAAGAGTGAGAGCAGGAATATGGGATAGGCATATGGAGGGGAGAGGTGTAGCACTGCAATACCGCAGGCTCTGCATACACTGCTTTAGTCTTCAAATCCATGGACAACCTTTCTTGAGTTTCTTGACCTTGCTTAGTTAGCATCTCCTAGCATCCATGTTCAGTTCTGTTTGATGTTTTCACTAGCATAGCTGCAAACTCAGTGGAAACTGAATTAATTTAATTTCCAGACAACACAACTGGAAAGGGCCACCAGTATCTTGGAGAGCAGAGCATGAATTTGTTTGCTTTAAAGCAGAAACTGGAAAAATGTTGACTGAATTCAACAAGAGAAAATCTACTGGACTCTGTCTGGGGGAGGTTCTTCAAAAATCCTGACTCGGGGTGACTGTTACATAGTCATTTTTCAGGAGAAGTCTGGTGATGAATGAACAGAAATTCAAGATAGATTAGCAGAGCCTTGAGAAGGCAAGTGCCATACTGAAATTAAGGTTACAGGTACAGTTTGCAAGATGCCAAGTCTTGATCTCTTTGCTATGGGTAAGTCCCTAGTTGACATACTAAGTCCTCAGTCCTTTCCTTTACATTATTCCTCCAATAACCATGTGGACAAGCTGACAAGAGTCTGAACAGGAGTTCTGAGCATAGTTTGCGTTCTGAAAAGCACATCATAGGAGGACAGTTTGAATAAATTGGGTTGGTTTGCTTTAAAGGAAATTATGATTGGAATGAGAAGATAGCAGCCTTCAAGTGCCTGAAAGGTTGGTGCAAAGTAAAGGCAAGCAACATATTCTGCAGTATCTTCTGAAAATAATTAATTTGAGTTGCAAAAGGGAAGATGTGTATTAGAGAAAGGTAGATATTTGTTGAGGAAAACAAAATTCCTCCTGTGGAATGTTTTGACTGAGATTGTCATTTTGCTTCATTTAGGGAACCACATTGTTTGTATTTTCAGCCTCAGTGAGAGGAGATGCTCTCAGGAAATTGCATACATAACTGAAAGTAGTTATAATAGCTGATATGCAGTTTTCAGTGTTTATGCAGGTGACAGCAGTTACTTAACCATATACAGTTGTTTTCTACTTAAAGTAAGAATAGAAGTGATCAAAGGCATTTGGAAAGACATCTGGTTACACTGTGCCCACCCGTCATTTCTTGCCAGTTTTCCAGTATAGCAGTGCACATGGATTGTACTTGTGCAAGATGTGCGTTCATAAAAGCCTGGGATGGAAGCAGGGGGTGGCTACTTTGAGGTAAGAGTGTCTGAGCAGGAGTGAGAAAAAAGCAAGGGGCTGCTGATACAGCATGAAGATAGAGAGAGTGCAGCGTGGGGAACAAGACAGGGCAATATCAAACACTCATACCAGATGATAAGAAGCTGCAAAGCTGGTGTAAGATTGCTTTTAAAGATGAAGCCCAGTGCCTTGCTAAAATACTTAGAGCAGTTTTGTTCTCCCTCTGGAAAAATTTGCTTTCTCCCCTTGCAGAAAAAAGATGGTTCCAGACAAAGCCAGATATTTTCGGTATCATTTCTTCCTTCATCAGCAAGCCCCTATTCTTGAGCTCTTCAGTCTACATTGGTTTTCAAAGCAGCAACCTCTTTTCACCAGTCAGAGCTGGGAAAAGCAGGTTCTGTGGATCGAACACAAAGAATTACTTTTAAGCTTCTGATGGATGCTCCTATAGAACTTCTGTAGCTGCTGTAATGATATTGGTGCTTAGGGATTTGCTTTTGTTTGTTTAATCTATTATCTACTTAGTCTGCTTTTTCTTTCTTTGTTTTCTAGACTGTCTTCATAAAGAGACAAGGTTTAGGTAATCACACTAGCCCTCTGTGCTTTCCTCACAGTTTTAGAGCCAGTGGTCACTTACAGTGCACAGAAATCTCGAAGATAACATGTTCCTACATATTTAATGAAAGCAGACAGGTAGTTAGAAGGGACAGAGTGCAAAGTTTTGGGATGAATTATTCTTTGTTACTCCCGAGGTTCTTCATGGAACCTGGTTTGAGTGCCTGTCCTATTGTAGGAAATGGATCCATAGGGAATCAGGCTTTTGTTAGTTCTGCTTTTCCTGGAGCTGTTTGCTTCTCTTTTGGATTAACGTTTGTTTTAGTTCCTAAATGTTCAAGCAGCAATACCATTTTTAATGAAGTTTTTTAAAAATTGAATATACTACTGGAGCTTCAGATAGTAGTAATGTCAATATGTAATAGCATGTGAGTAACATCAAATAAGCTACACTGACATAAATAACCATGCCTTCCTCAGGCCATCTGCAGACAGCCATCTGCAAATAGAAGTAATAGTCGTGTTTACGGAAAGCAAATATTGAGTAGAGTATTAGGAAAATGCTTGGTTCTTTGAAAAGAAGATAATAAACACAAGTGCTGAGAATTTGGCATCGATACCAAAAATGTCTCCTAAGAACGTTGAAGGCTTCCTACATTCCCTTGTTTCTCCCACAGGCTCAGGCTACAGATAGGGAAAACTTGCAGCCAAGTCAGTTGATGTACAGTAGTTGGCTGTTACCCAGTGAGTCGTTCTGCCTGAGAGCTCTCAGGTACAGGTGGAAGGGTTCCAGCATAAGCTATGAATGAGAAATTAAGTGTTAGACAAAGTCCCCTTAGAGGACTTTCATGAATAAGGAGTGCATTACTTCGCTGTCATAATGGCTGACACTTTATCTTTGCAAAAAGAAATTAACATTTTCATCAATAAAGGGCTTCAAACTGTAGCTGAGAAGTAATTCAGTTCAGTTCCTTTAGTGTGTCCAACACATCATTAAGTAAAAAAAGGCACCATAGTCCTGTGAAAAGAAATTTGATTCATTCATGATGAAGTCAGTAGTAGAGAACAGTGTTCACTGGCGTAGGATTTGGACCCAGACATCTACTTAGAGCACGAAGTGTAAGTTATTGTTCAGTGTCAGCACTGTAGGTCTGGATGGGTCTTTTCATCAAAGTCAATTAAGAGATTCAAATGCAGTGCTGTAGAGAATTGAGCTTACTTTTGCCAGATCATGATTTAGTACAGCTTTTTTAGGCAAGACAAGACAGTAGAGATTGTTTAACCACGCAGCCCAGGATGCCCTGAGACATTCTGCCAATAAAAGTCTTTGCATTTAAGAAACTTAGGAGTGCTAGATGGATATAAAATAATCTTTTC